GCCTGTTACAGAGCCGGAGGCGGAGCCAGTGCCTGTTCCAGAGCCGGAGGCAGAGCCAGTGCCTGTTCCAGAGCCGGAGGCGGAGCCAGTGCCTGTTCCAGAGCCGGAGGCAGAGCCAGTGCCTGTTCCAGAGCCGGAGGCAGAGCCAGTGCCTGTTCCAGAGCCGGAGGCGGAGCCAGTGCCTGTTCCAGAGCCGGAGGCAGAGCCAGAGGCAGAGCCAGTGCCTGTTCCAGAGACGGAGGCAGAGCCAGTGCCTTTTCCAGAGCCGGAGGCGGAGCCAGTGCCTGTTCCAGAGCCGGAGGCAGAGCCAGAGGCAGAGCCAGTGCCAGTGCCAGTGCCTGTTCCAGAGCCGGAGGCGGAGCCAGTGCCTGTTCCAGAGCCGGAGGCAGAGCCAGAGGCAGAGCCAGTGCCTGTTCCAGAGACGGAGGCAGAGCCAGTGCCTGTACCAGAGCCGGAGGCGGAGCCAGTGCCTGTTCCAGAGCCGGAGGCAGAGCCAGAGGCAGAGCCAGTGCCTGTTCCAGAGCCGGAGGCAGAGCCAATGCCTATTCCAGAGCCGGAGGCAGAGCCAATGCCTGTTCCAGAGCCGGAGGCAGAGCCAATGCCTGTTTCAGAGCCAATGCCTGTTCCAGAGCCGGTGTCTGGTCCTCAGAGGGCATCACCGCCTTGGCCGCCCGAGGGGTCTGCTCCGCCCTGGCCGCCTGAGGGGTCTTCACCGCCCTGGCCGCCCGATGGACTCTGTGTTTCGCCTTGGCCGCCCGATGGACTCTGTGTTTTGCCCTGGTCTGTCCCTCCCGTCCCGCCCTGGTCTGTCCCTCCCGCCCCCCCCCCCCCCCCCCCTGGCCTGTCCCTCCTGTCCGTCCCGCCCTGGTCTGATTGAGCGTCTGGTAGCCGCTCCGTAGGGAGGGGGTTATGTCACATGTCTGTCCTGTCTGTGATGCACATGGGTGTTTGTTATTTTGAGCCATGTGCTCTTGTCATTGTTTGATCCCTCCCCCTTGTTATCTGATTATTGGTTTATTTGCTCCACCTGCCTTTCTCGTTACCCTCCTTTGTTTGCCTCCCTATTTAGTCTTCCTGTGTTTGCTGTCCTGTGCTCGTTCGTTGTATTTGTTACGCGTGTTGTATTCTGTGCCTGTTCCTGCCCTGCCTTGTCTGTTTTTGGATTTAGATTTGGTTTGTTTATTTTATGTTTTGTCTTATTAAAATACTTCTTCTCTGCACCTGAATCCACGGAATTATTCCCGGTCCCACCGTGACAGCCGCTGTCTAAATTTCTAGGCTACCAAATATACTTAGACTTTTCTGTCAGTATAAGTGAAGTAAGTGCAAATTTTAAGTATATTTTTGAGAAGTACATAAAAAGACTGAAAGTATACCTTCTTATTTTTAGTTTAAAGGAAGTATAAAATAGCACATTTGAATAAACTTATAGCTACGCCTATGGGAAGCATATGAAAATGTGTGTTTTTGCTAAGCATGACAATATTTTTATGACAATGAGACAGTGAACACATACACTCAAAACAGCTTGTTCCCTCATTCCCTTTGTCCCAGAGTAGCTGCAAGCTGCTAGTGACGCATACATGGAGTTTTAATACCACTAAGAGCATCTGTTTCATACTGTTACAGCACAGACCTCACTCTTTTACAGCTTAAAACGTGAACTGTTCCATCTGTCCACTCTATTCTCCATCCGTTCACTAATTTCCCCCACCTCCCCCCTCTCACATGATCTCAACAACTGCTGGTAATGAAATCCGGCTGCTGATATTTCTCAAGATGTATTTGTGATGGTGCGTTATCCTGCTGGAGTAGCCATCAGAAGATGGTACACTGTGGTCATAAAGGGATGGACATGGTCAGCAACAATACTCAGGAAGGCTGTGGTGTTTAAATGATTCTCAACTTACCGTTCGCAAAGACCCGTCCCCTTTAGTTACTGTTGCTATGTCCGACAAGCGACGCCGCTTTCATGCCACACACCATGTTCTCACACAGTGAAAAATACATCGCGGAGCAAAGAGGACACTGACTACGCGCTGACAGAAAGGACAGACCAGGTTACTTTTGATATGAAACTCTCAACTTTCACATTTGGGAAATTTAAACAATAAATACCGTTTTGTGGCTCTTTAATGTGTCTGACAGATCGCTGTAGAGCTGCTCCAGAACCGATGATCTCTTCCTTCTAGTTAATTTATAGCATCAAATAAACATGAAAGAACATAAGAAGGAATGTTGTTTTAACCACGGAAAGACATCAGTACACTCTGTTTTTCAAGTTCAAATCCTCCAACGTTAATCTACGAACTCTCCTGACTGTTGACTCTCCTGACAAAAATGGCCGATTCGGCGAAAGGCGGACTATGATTGGTCAGATTGCCTGTCAATCAAACTCCCTGCGAAGGGTCAATTGGTACTAAGAGGCCCAAAGTGTGCAAAGAAAATATCCTCCCCACCATTACACAAGCAGCAGCCTGAATCGTTGATACAAGGCAGGATCTATCTATGCTTTCATGTTGTTTACACCAGATTCTGTCATCTAATGTCACAGCAGAAATCAAGACTCATCAAACCAATCTTCTATTGTCCAATTTTGATGAGCCTGTGCAAATTGTTGTCTCAGTTTCCAGTTGTTGACAGGAGTGACACCAATGTGTCTTCTGCTGCTGTAGTCCATCTGTTTCAAGGTTCAAGGTTGTGTGTTCAGAGATGCTCTTCTGCATACTTTGGTTGTAACGAGTGGTTATTTGAGTTACTGTTGCCTTTCTATCAGCTCGAACCAGTCTGGCCATTCTGACTTTCCCTCACTGGAAATTTTCTCTTTTTCAGACCATTCTCTAGATGGTTGTGCATGAAATCCCAGTAGATCAGCAGTTTCTGAAATACTCAGATCAGCCCGTCTCTCACCAACAACTAAGCCACATTCAAAGTCACTTAAATCACCTTTCTTCCTCATTCTGATGCTCAGTTTGAACTTCAGCAGATCTTCTTGACCATGTCTACATGCTTAAATGCATTGAGTTGCTGCCATGTGATTGGCTGATTAGATATTTGTATTAATGAGCAGTTGAACAGATTTACCTAATAAAGTTGGCCAGTGATACATAGCCAAGTCTTTCTTTATTCTGTGGAATGCAATATGTATTATTTATAGCAGAAGGTCCATACTTTTAAATACAATGACCACAGCTAAGCAGTCAAGGAAGATTTTCAGTGAATATCAACTTAAATTTCAGTCTGTTCTTTGCTGTCATATGGCTTCCATAGACTATAAAAATTTGAAATACAAGTTGTATGTACATTTTTTATAATGCATTTATCACATCTTTCCCCCCTTTGACAGTTTGTCAGCCATTTCACTGTATGGAAAAGAACAACATTCTTTAAAACATTTTATTTTGTGTTCTAGAAAACATGACATACCAAACTAAGAATTTCTGAAATTCATGTAATTTTTTAAACTTTGTTTTACTTGAATTGTTATGCTGATAATATAATTTGTACAGTTTGTATAAAAAAAAGGAAAAGATTAACAGGTAAAACTGTTTTATAATTATAGATTTTTATAATGTTTTATTGCACAGTTTGTGTGTGTGTTTCTGGTATGGTAATTAGAAGAAGAAGAAGTTTTATATAGTGCCTTTCCGTAGCTCAAGGTCGCTTTACATTGTACATTGGAATACATTTGAACACCCACATACACATTGCAAACACATAAGGCCACATAGCCACATTATCCAAAATACATATAAAATAGATATGAGTCTTGAAGGTAGACAAAGTTGATATATAACAAAGTTTATGAACATACTGTAATCTTGCAATAAGTTTTTTGGGCAGACCAAGAAATAGAGCATTTCAATAATCCAGACTTGATGTGATTAACGCATGAATTAAGATTTCAGCATACGCTATATTGAGAGAAGATCGAAGACGTGCAATATTACGAAGATGGAAAAAAAGAGTTTTTAACAACAGAAAAAATCTGAGAGGCAAAAGATTACGGACAGATGAAGAAGGCTTAACATGAACCCCATCAATATCAAAGGACAGGTCCATCCTTTTGACTGAGGTAGCAGGGCCAATCATCAATATTTCAGTTTTGTTATTATTTAATTTAAAGATATTCAGGGACATCCAATGCTTGATATCTCTGATACATGCAGTAAGTGAGTCAGGCAGGGATGGCCTATCAGAGCTGGAGATAAGGTACATTTAAGTACATGCATGCGTATTGCAACAAATTAAGTCTATTAAATATTATAATCAATAATAACTGGTTATAATTTATAATAAATATTTGGATCAGTTAATATATTTACTTAATGTAGTAAAATTAATATTACAATCAACCCACCTGTTCGTCCCGTGAACACTCAGCGTTAATTGTTTATTAATTCTAAGAAATATTCATTTCTGGGGAAGGGAAATGTCTTTCTTACTGTACGGTACTAAGAGTCTGTAGTCAAAATCCAATTTGTAAAGTAAACTTTGTTGCAAGCAGAGAATCAGAACCAAATACATATTGTGCACAAGTTTCATTAACTAAATCACAAACATAACTAATCTAAACACATACATACATACACGGGTAAAAGGGTGAGTGACAGAATGGAACCGGAAGTAGGAAATGGAACTATGGAAAAGATCCATCTAACTATGAAAAGAACATAATCTTGTGTGTATATGTATGTTGTCAGTAATCTGAGCAATGTGAGAGAACAGAGACAGGAATATGGGCCATGTTTCTTCATCTGTGATTGAGGGATTTTTGTTTTTACTCCAGTGCCAAGAACTCTTTAATATTCTCAGAATTACAACAACCTCAGAGGTAATCCAGCATGACTATGGCTTAAATCTAACCCAGTGGAGGAAAGAGACACAGAAAAATATAAAGGCTTATAAGGCCATCCCATGATTGTGACCTCCAGTTAGTAGGCCGTAGTCCACTCAGAAACAGTCATCAGTACCAGGTAATGTTATTTCTAATGATAAAGTTACATTTTGTCTTCTCTCTCGATCTCATTTGTGGGACAGCTTTTAAAGCCGAGAAAGTTGATGGAGCTCTGGGAGTCACGATGGATGCGATGAACTCTGTGAGGGGTTGGAAAGCTGAGTAAAGTGGGAGACGATAGATATTTTTTCTTCATCCTTCCAGTAACCAGCACTAATGGCCAACCTTCCTCCACCAGCCCCTCAAAAAGCGCCCCTAGACTTTCGCGGATTCGAGTGCAGAAGTTTGGACAGCTAAAAGTGTAGATAATTGGATTCAACACAGAGTTCAGGAAAGTGAATGTTGTTGCGACAGGTAAGGACACCTCCACTAGATCCACAATCCCTGTCTTGTACAGAGCCGTCACCTCCAGCAAGCAGAAAACGTGGTAGGGCAGCCAGCAGAGAATAAAGGTTGCGATCACCGTGACGACCATTTTCGTGAAACCTTGCGAGAGTCGAGCGCCATTTTGTCCGCCTGGTGAAGACTGGCTGCGGAAGAATTTCGAAGATTTCTGTTTGCCATTGCTCGCACTCTTCTGTCTACTCTCGAGCCTCTTCCTGCGAGCCTGCAGCTCTAAAACAAAGAAAGCGTAACTGACAGCAATGACCACCAGTGGCCCGACAAACGCCAGCAACACTTTGGACACTGCCGTCACTTCCTGACGCGCCTTACAGTCTGTATGCAGCGTGCTCTGTGAGGAATAGAGTGCAAAATTATGATAGCAAAGTTTGCGGCCGTCCTGCTTAAGCATCGGATCGGAACATGAAATACGGAAACGTGTTAACCGCCGCCCAAGCCCATCCTAGGCCGCAGATCTTCCATGCTGCCGACACAGTGCGGCGGTTCTGAGTCCACACCGGCTTAGTCACCACCAAACAACGGTCCAACGATATCACAGCTAGTAGGAAGGCAGAAACAAACATGTTGAGGAAAAATATGGAGGCCTGGGCTGCACACAATGGGCCGCCCAACTCCCAGCTGTGGCCCTTCAGTAGGTAATGAGTGAAAAATGGCAAAGTTAGTGTGGTTAGGAAATCCGACAGTGCCAGATTGAGAACCCATACTGCCGCAACCGTCTTGCGACGAAGACGGCAACCAAGCACCCAAAGCACCAGTCCGTTCTCCAGGATTCCCAGAGTGGATACCACACCATGCACACTCACCACCGCCAGGTTCACTTGAGTGTCATTGTTCAGGGTGTGAGAGATCATTTTCTGCAGAAGGGGACAGTGGAGCTCTGAGGGGGACGAATGGGAGGAATTAGGAGGTAATGAGGAAGTCATTGCTGTCACAAAAAAGAGAAACAATTATTAATATACAGTAGGGGTGTGCAAAAAAATCGATTCACATTTGAATCGCGATTCAATCTTTACCGATTCAGAATCGATTCATAGAATTCCAAAAATCGATTCATATTTTTTTTTTTTTATGGCGTGCATGGGCGGAGTGGCAATCGGGTGAGTCGGGACTTTTACCGGTGGTCCGGTAGTGTTTCGAGGCTGCGACGGCCGGTCTGATAAATAGTTACATTGCAAGTTCTTGCCGCCCGCTGGTCAAACTGTGCAGCCTCTCTGCTCAACCCGTGAATAAATGCATCGATCCGCAGATTATGTTTGAGTTCTTAATGGTCTGTAGTAGGGGTGGAGCCGAACCCGAATACGGTATTCGTAAAGGTACAAATAACGTGTTTTTTACGAATAGTTATTTCGAACAAATACTTAAAAAAAATATTTGTATTCGGGAACAAGAAAAACGTTATATCAAAAAGCTGCGTTTCCTCACGAGACCGCAGTGCATGCACGGATGAGTGAGTTAGAGTGGGTGAGTTAGAGTGAGTGAGTTAGGGCCCTTACATAGTCAACGCATCGGTACGCATACGCGTGCGCAAGGCTACACATTGCTACGCTTCGGCCGCCATTATGCGTCGATGCGTAGCCAAATGTGTCGTCCTAGTTTTTGATACGCGACGCGCCGATGCACGCAATACTATGCGTTGTCGGTGGGGGCGACATTGCAAGTAATGTACATAAAAAGGTATATTATTATGTTTACAGAAGAAGAAGATTTGAATACAATGGCGGGCGAAGAGGAAAAGTTATGCGAGCTTGTTCGTATACATCCTTTGTTGCCGCCGATGTAAAATCAGCAATATGCACTCCTCTTCAGTTGCCATTTTGATCTGAATATTACGTGACCTGACTCTAGACTCTACTACCCCCTGCTGCGCAATCGGTGTATTGCATTTCACGCATCGCCGGTGACGCTTGTGTACTATGAAAAGGAGCGCGTAGCTCGCGTCGCTCGCGTTGCTTGCTCGCGTTGCTCGCGTTGACTATGTAACGGCCCTTAGAGTGAGTGAGTGACGTTCAGGAAGGGGTGACTGACACACGCTGCTCCACACAGCAACAGAGAGGGCTCGGCTGAGCGAAAAAACACTTAACTGCATCACTATTTTTGTTGAATAGATTTTTGTACCTTAACTGGGTTCCGGAGGCAGTTTATAACTTTCGGGAAGCGGAGTTTGATCGGGAGATTATTCCATTACGCTGCATTATTGACGTCTGCAGTCGGGTGCTCTCACGCTCTGTTTACGTAGCTCTGTTAGCTCGGTAATTTAGACAGAGTAAGGTTAACGTTCGGTTAAAAAATGCTTGTGTAGTTGTGTCGAATTGTATGCACTTGTGGGAGTTATATGGCACGCAGATCTTTATTGATAGCGGCTCCCTGAAATTAGTTCAAATCTCCCGGAATCTAACGCGCATGCGACACAGAACATACTGTGCTCCAAACTGTGTTAGCGCGCGCACGGAAGAGAGCGAGAGACCTTGCGTGTGTGCGTTATGAATGCTAGTCAAACCCCCAAACAACAGATCTCTTACTTAATAGCGAACTAAATGAATGCTCTGCTAGTTAACTGGAGATACCTGCAAATTACGCCTATGAACGACTTCACTGGATCTAAACAAATCAATCTAACCATAGATGTTACCAGTAGCGGTGGCTTTTTAAAATCTATTTAAAATTATTTCGCAAGGGTTGACATTAGTATATTTTTAGGAAGTTCAATGTGCCCAGTCGAGTTCACATTTCAACAGTCAGCCTGGTAGCTGAAGTAGTCCTTAAACCACATTTAGCATAATTGTTTGTTTGATCTGACTACAGCACTTTAAAGCTAAATGTAAAAGCTTTTTATTTAAGTTTTATTTTAAACTTGAATTAAATGTATTTGAAAGCTGGCCAAAGCTTGGCACTTTGCACTTTTTAGTTGCAAAAGTTTTTATTTTTGTATGAAGACATAACTAATATCAAACTACATTTAATTTGTTGTGTTTTTTTTTCTTTTAAATTGTGTCTACTGCAATCAATCACATAGGAAAAAGTAAACTACATGTATATACTGTGAATCGTTTTTGAATCGAAAATCGATTTTGAATCGAATCTTGAGACAAAAAATCGGTATCGAATCGAATCGTGACATTTTCTGAATCGTGCACCCCTAATATACAGTATTGCGGCGTATTATATCACTAAACCAAACCAAACCAAACAAAACGCCACAGCAGGCTGAAACATGAGGGTTTACACTGAAGACGCGTCACACTGAACCATTGTACATGTTGGGATCTCTTTATTACGCTATCTCACATACTTTGAAAACCGAAACATTTACTTTGAGCGATGCATTTCATAAGCCGTGCAAAGGTACCTCAGATACATCAGTGGAAGATGTTAACAATGGTGACGGTCAACAGAAAGTTTCACCCTGCATGCTCACCCAGCAGCCAAACCCCAAGCTTTTTCACACAGGTGAGCACACACACATTAATACAGTCCCCACACCCCCGGTCCCGCCCACAGTAACCGATGACGTTGTGATGCGTGTGCACATACACCACAGTACACAGAAAAGAGGGAATATAAAAGAAACCAAGTCAAACCCAGTGTATGGCTCCTACATACAGTACAACTGAGATGAAGCACATAGATCAACAAATTAAACCTTTATTATGTGTGTTTGAAATGGGGTTCTTTCTTAAAGTTTAACATCTGTAGGATTCTAAGATGGGGGTCTTCTTTTTTAAAAAGAAGTCTCTTATGCTCACTAAGGCTGCATTTTTTGATACAGAAATACAGTAAAACAGTAAAGTTGTGACGTACTTTTGGCAATTTTATATACCTGTTCTATTTTAATATATTTTAAAATGTTATTTATTCCTGTGATGGCAAAGCTGAATTTTCAGCATCATTACCCAGTCTTCAGCATCACATGATCCTTCAGAAATAGTTACTTTGACAGTGACAATATTAAGTTAACTAAGTAGATCACAAAGTTCAATGCAGATCACTAAAAGATTTTACATATTTCTTACAACAGAACATTTACCAACATTTTCAAAAAAGAGGAAGGAAGAAGTAGAGAATGTAAAATCAAGCAAATAGGAAGCTGTGGTGAATTTGATAATCAGATGAGCAAACTGAACTCTGTCTCTTAACTGTGTTAGTCCTGTCTGTGAGGTTTCTGCTATCGCTATTTTGACTTCACAACAATTTCATCCAAGACCTCTCTAAAATAATATCATCGTGAGGTATGTAAAAAATGTGTTATTATCAGTGTATGCATGTGCGTGGATAATTGTAAGCGTTTTGAGTTAAAGTATTTATCATTATTTTGTTTTTATCTTGTTATTTCTTGAGTCCAAAAAACGCATGTAGACCAAGTCTAACCAAAATGCTTACCAGCAAATTCACACATTCACTTGTATTTAAAACATACATTTTACATTAGTTCACAGTGTCTAAAAACATTAGCTACATTAAAAAAGGCTTTCATAACAACACATAGTGTTACTGGGATCCAGATTCATTGGTACAGTATTATTAAACAGGAACTACACGTATCTCACACTTGCGTAATTGATGGTTTAGTAGAAATGATGACTGTGTGATAACTAGCATTCACTCATCCTGCATCATCCATTAAGATAAGGGCAGAGGTGGAAAGTAACGAATTACATTTACTCGCGTTACGTAATTGAGTAGTTTTTTTGTGTACTTCTACTTTTTTAAGTAGTTTTTAAAATCTGTACTTTTACTTTTACTTAAGTACGTTTTGTTTGAAGTATTGTTCTTCTACATTTGAAATCATAACCGTTACTGAGTAAAAAATAATAATAGGCCTACAAGGGAGAAAAAAAATCACACTCTGGAAACTACTGCATTGGTTGAAGGGCGGGAGAACAAACGCGCAAGAACGGTGACGCAGACCCAGCTGAAGCTGAAAGCGCCCTCGAATTCTTATGAAGCGAATTATGGCCAGTATGGAAATACTTTGTAGAAAAAACGCGTGGTTGTCCTCGAGGATAGATATCCAATTTGCAAAAAATGTGGGCGCAAAGTGGCTACAAAAGGAGGATACATAGGACACCATCCCTCCTGCAGATAAAGGTAACTTAGGCTATGTGCCGATTTAGTATAACTTAAGGCCGATTCTGGCCGAATGACTTACGTGATGCAGAGGGAATCCCGGAATCCAGTCATGAAAATGGAATTTACAGAACGCAGATGTCACGTAAAACACGCAAAATACTGGATGGATGAATACATGGAGTAGAACTGTGCAATAAATCCAATCGCGACATGGTCTGTGAATAGTTAAGCACGAAAATACTGCATGTAAATATATAACCTATTTGTTCTGCTGAGCTGCGCCGTTTTGTCTACTACATACTCAAGTACGCGTGACGTTCATGGTGTTTTCAGCGTCTCACAAACAACATGAACATTTCCAGAGCTGCTCTGAGAGAACGCCTAATGAGCATTTTCATAATTTTATTTGAGGAAAAACCATTGTCAAATAAACTTTGAAACAGGTCTTCACTACAACCTGTCAAAATAAAAGTTCGTTTTACTACTAGGAGAAATTCTAACCGAAATATATTACTATTGTAGGCATAGCTACAATAGAACGTACTTCTCAAAATAATAATAATAACAACAATAATAATACATTTTATTTAAACATTATTTAAAGGAATATATTTTTTTGTCCATGGTTTCATTTAGTAAATCTGTTTTTGCAGCGCTTGCCCAAAAAATAAAAGGACACAAGTTTAAATTTACATTTGATTGCCACCGTTTTTGATAATATATTTGGATTAAATCGTAAAAAGAAACATTAATTTTCTGAATAAAATACATTCCATTGGATTATATTATTCTTAAAATTTTTAATAAATTGTTAATGTTAAAAATAAGTTGTTAATCTAATTCATTATCAATTATT